ATATATATATAAGTAATTGCAAATTCATTTATATTTTCCAACTGATCGTACCGACTATCAATCGTTATTACTAATGACAATGCGATGGCTCTAAAAATTCATTATGGAGGATTATATCATGTGACAATACAAGTGACATGAAATATATACAATCATTGTAGGGTATGTATCTAAATAAGTTACGCTTGTGTGAAAAAGTATGTTTATAACGAACGTAATGAAATAGATGCGATTTTTAAACCTAACGGGAATTTAATCTTCTAAAAATGCGATTCAATTCAATTCTCACTTGTCATTCTACGAGAGACGAACTTATGCTCGATTCACGGCTTTTAATTGAGATGTCGAAATGCGCCGAAATGCGTCGAAATTAAAAAATAGAATGGCTTTATAATTTACAGTATGGCAATAAAACAGTTTTAACATTGTTATATATGTAATTGTTTATTATTAAAGCCGAATAAAGTATGATTATAGTGACAAACAATTAAATGATAGTAATTCGGTTCTTATATATTATAGTTGTAAAATAATTGTTTCTGTGTAATATAATTAATGCTGATCGAAAGAGTGAATTTTTTTTAGATGTATTGCATACTGTAGTTAAAAGCCCATCGTGCCGAATAGGAAGATCGTATATTCTTGCAATTTGTTCTGTTCTTACATAAGATGAAAATGAAATATGTTCGCTACTTCAACATTCTTGAGTGATAGAGGATTACACTAAACTTTTCTTATATGTATTTTGCATATAACATATAAGATGAGTCGAATTGACAGATTTTAATCTATGCCGATTATTTATGCCGGATAATTAACTTTCTATCGGTATCGGTGCCGCAAGAAGACTGTTGTTCTTCAACATTTTGCCTGTTCGCAAAGTGTGCATTTGTAATAGAATAGATTCTTGCAGAGAGTTAAATATAAGATAAAGAATTTTCGTAGCAAAACTCGTGAGCATGAATTGAATTCATGACGAATATTCTCTTGAAAACTTTTGTTTGATATTGCCATTTATTTAATATAACAAGTTAATGATGATGATTACAAAAGTATGTCATGTCTTTGAAACGTTATTTGCATTTTCTTCTTTCTTTCATTAATTTATCATTGATATATTATCATTAATATATGTTTTATTGATTATGGTATTATATATTTTACGTATTCATACCTGTCAGAACAATCAAAATAAATCAATTCTAACACAGATATTCACGATTCACATCAATCAAGAATTGAAAAATAATGTAAATTGATCGTTGACGTTCTAAACACTATTCTAGTAGACATTTGAAATTATTGTATAATTCATGCGTAGCGCCGAATAATATTTAACCAAATCAGAAGTTAAATATTTACGACTCGCATATGAGCAATAGCCTAAATGACATTAATTATAATTGGAAGATAATGAAAGACGCGAGGATACTCAGCCCACCTAATTTTAGGAAATATTTACATCTCAGCCATAACCGTGATGAAGGCCTAGCTAAATGTAATTGTTAAATTGAATTCTAAGCGACGCACGAGAAGAATTGTTTCAAAGAAATATTTTGCTGCGCCAATTATAAAGTCTCCTATTATAATTCTCAGCCGGATGATGAATGCATCGGATGATTCTTCATCTCGCTCAATCACGACCACTAATTATAACTACATTCCTCCGTGACTATAACAATAAATAGGCACTAATGAGAAAAACATATATATATATATATATATATATATATATATATATATAATA